TGTTGAGCCTTGAGAATGTTTGTGAAGAAACATGTTGTGTGTACATAATTAAATGAAAATTCTTCAGAAGCAGTTTGAAAAACTGAATTGTGGTCATGAAGCTAATTTGCAGTTTCTTTTGCTTAAGGAAGAAAGCTGTGATAAATTCCAAATTTGCTTTTGGATGTTTTCCTCTGCTCCAGCTCTCACCAAGAAGTTAGCAGACCTGCATCTGAGCTCTGCTTGTAGCCCCGGCGGGGCTGCCTTCTATAAAAAAATGCCGTCATAAATTTTAGCAGGTTGGTGTGAGAAATCTTCCACCAGAACTCAGTGGAAGCAGTTCTATTGTTTCTTTGCTTTTATTGCCAAGAGGTGCTTGTTTTTAAAAGTGTGTTCAATAAAACAAAATTCTGAAGTTAGACGTGTTCTTAAGTTGATATTTGCTCTCTTGGTCTTGGTAGCCCTCTTCTCTGAAGTCTGCCTTCAGGACTTGGCTGTTTATTGCCTTTGTATGTCATTGCAGACACAGTGTTGTGTGTGTGTGTGTATATGTGCACCGGCATCAAACATTGTGTATCTGGAAGGGAAGAAGCATGTTCCAGTCCTAAAATGCAGTTACCAGACTTATCACTTTAAATCCTTAAAGTTAGAAGCTAGCACATTTTCTGTAGTGCAGAATATGTTTATTGCTGTTTTTGTATTTGAATAGTATACTGTTCAATGCCTCTCTTCTGCAAAGTGTATCATCTCATTGTGAATCTCTATATTATTCTACTGGGTACCTACCGATAATGATCCTTTCTCTCGCGAGGTATCTTCATTTAATGCACTGTCCAGAAATAGCCATGTGTAAGAGTCTTTCTCTGTATGATGAACTACATGGAAAAGACTTTTGTGGACATAATTCCGACTTAAACCTACGAAGTCACTTCATTTTGAGAAGAATGTCATATGGAAACCACCAAATACTTTGCAACTCTATTTCATCTGACTGGGAACTGAATATCAGTACAGGAGAACTTTGATGAGAAAAGGAAGAAAGAAGAATACACAGGAGCAGAGAGAAATGTGACGCTCCACGTTTTACTGCAGATTGACATTGTTTGCGGGGGAGGGAGCTGACAGATCTGGTGCTGAGTTAATTGGAGCCTGGCAGCGTTCGCTGTAGCGGTCCGGCCTGGATGGTTTGTCCTGAGATGTTCCCCTGGGAGAGCCAGGACTCGTTTTTGAAGGAGGGGGTGCTGCTTCATTGCTGTGTGTGATCAGGCTGATGCTGAGGGTTACTCTGCGCTGTGGGGCGTAGCCAGGGATTTGACTGGGCGCTCCGGGTACCCGCTTTGCCCCACCTCCGTCTTGGCCCCACAGTGACTTTTGCCCTGCGTTTCTGCTTTCCTGTTGGAACCTGCAGGTCTCCACTAACACAGTGAAGGAAGAGAGCAGAGAGCAGCTCCTTGGACTCTAGAAGGAGAAGGTAGGGAATTCCAGGCAACACTCTGGCCAAGGATGTAAAACTGCTTTATTATGTATTTTTTTCCTTTGAATTAAAACCCAGAGTGTTACCTTTTTTTTAACCTTTTTTTTTTTTCTCGCTAAGCCAGATTTATTTTAGTCACAGCTTATTCTCACCTTTGCACCTCAAACACCTACACAACATTTAGGCTTGATGTATGATTTGAACAGTACAGACATTGCTCTCAAGGCTGGTGGTAAATATTTTTGGCGACCAGACACTTAACATAGTTGGCTCAGGCCACTTGAAGGACAAAAGCCAGAGAGAGCTCTGCTTTGTCCCTCTCCCAGGATTCGGGATCCTGTGGACAGCTCTCTATGCGGCCCATGAGACCTTAGAAAGAACATGCTTTAACTGAAGCGTTGGACTTTACAGCTTCCTGTGCAAGGTCCCTGTGGTCCCACTGGGCGGGGGTAGGGCCAAAAATTGGGAACTCGTTGATCTGACAGTTTCACGTGAAAATTTTGTTGTGTGACCTTCTTTAGCTAAATGCATGGACTTAAAATTCATAGGTGACTAAATGTGGACGAGAGAGGTGGGTTTGAAGAGGCCAGACCTTAACCAAAGATGCTGAAATACAACATGCTGACCTTTCTGCTCTAGACACACCTTCACCTTCACCAGTGGTGGCAGGACTGTCGCTGGGGCTGTCAGCCAGCCGGGCGGGAGGATGTGCTTGGTCACGCTCTGCGTTCTCGCAGGAGGTCGTGATAAAGCTAAGGTGTGTTTCCGTCAGACTGATGATAACAGTGTACGTTGAAAACAGAATTTCAGAGTGGTTTCTTAAACATTTACTTACCGATCACGGACAAAGGCCATGGGACTATGCTAAACCGATAAAACCTTAGCAGACCCTTAGATTCTGATTCAGAGCATCTGTGCTTTCAAGGACAGTGTGAAGTGCAGTGGCTAAGGTTGTCTTTCGATCGTTTTTCTCCTGTGTGTGATCTTCACAGATGCCATTTCTGTTGCTTCAGTGGTGATTCTATGAGACTTCTAAACACATAAACGAACGGGTATTGGTGCCTCTTGATTTTTAAAATTTTGAAGAAAAGAGCCACCTCATATTCATAGGGTGTGTGAGTATTTTGTGAGTGTATGAGCATTTAACTGAAAATAAGAGTTATGAAGTAAATCTTTAGTTTTTTGATTTTTTTTCGGTAGCAGCTAATGTATACAGAGACACTAAAACCCACACCAAGTTATGTGGGCGGTGAGGATCCTTCTTTCTCTCCAGGTGGTCCCACAGGTTATGCGGTTTAAGTTCATTGTATTTTATGCTGTGAGTTACTTCCACCTCGGTGGTTTCAGCCTTTGGGACAGTAGATACTGCAAAAACCAGGAACTCGGGTTTTCTGCACAAGCTGCTGGTAGACGTTAGCCCTCTGGTTTTCCAGCTCAACCTCTGATTAAGTGGATTGACAGTCAGGCTGGTCAGTCGGCTTAGTCAGCAGACTCAGGTTATTTTCAGGGAAGGCATGGAGGCGTGTTTGGTTAATTTCATCACCAGGATGTGTCAGGTGAAGACACAAACCAAATACTTTTCATCACCTAACTCTACGTACATTATGCTTGGTAACACTGGCGTGCTGTGGCCTTGGGGGGATGTGAGCGAGGAGCACGCAGAAGGTTGGGTGCAGCACAGCGGTGTTTACCATAAGCAGGTACAAACTTCATGAACTGTTCTTATCGAACTATAATTGAATAGATACCAAAAATAGAATGACAAGTGTATTTCAATAGCAGACGAGGCACTTAGTTTTAGGGCGAGTTTTCCCGCTGTTGATTTTACTTCAAGACATAGGGAGAGAAAACAGTTTAGTTTTCAAGACATTTCCCTCTACAGTTTCCCACTGTAGTGAGCAGATGCTTCCTTTACTTCCACAGCGGCAGAAGCAGCTGGAACTGGCTTATAGCACGTGCTTTGTTTCATGTTATGGGTGAGGACCGACACTTTTTGTTTTAGCAGTCACTTTTACATGTTCTCCAGCAAGGCAGATGTGGGGGTCAGTAGGACTTAGTGCCTGATCTTTTCTTTTGGGAAGGGGTGGGAGTGAATGTACTGGGGATGGGAGGGAAGCAGAAGATGGAAGCGTGAGTGAGTGTGCATGTGTCTGAAATTCACCATTTACCCCCACCTGTGTCTAGCAAAGGAACAGGTACTTAATGTATTTTGCTCATGACTGCAGTGTGCATGTATTTTTCCCCCCTCCTCCATGTTTTCTAAACTTACGCTAAAAGGATTCATCAAATCACCTTGTTCCGATGGCTCAGGGTTGTATTTCATTTGCTTACCCTGTGCTCTTGGGTTCTGTAGTGTTTCTATAATTATGTAACAATAGTGTTGCACTGTAATCTATCATATAGAGCTATATGTATGGAAACTTTTGATCAGTTTTTTAAGAAATGTATCCTGTTTGCAAAGGCACAATAAAGTTGCATCTTATAGACTATAGGCAATAAAGCTAACAATAAACCTTATTTAACACAAACTGTATTCACATTTCTCTGTTCATTTGATCTTGAGAAAAGTCCAGCACATCCAGTAGTTTCAGGGACTTCATTTTAACTTAAAAGGTTCTGATATGTTTAATTTATAAATTTTAGACTGATAACAATAGTTTTGGAAAACTCAGAAATGCTTTGTTAATGTGTGTATTCCTATGTAAAAACACATGGCTTCTCCTGTGTATATTTTTAAACATTAAAGAAATGCACACTTAAAGAGTGTTTTGTGGAACCAGTCTGTGCAAGTGTGACAGGTGCCCGAGATCTGAGGGAGGGAGCGTGGAGGTGAGAGGACATTGCTGTCTGCATTTGCTAAGGCTCCGCCTGTAAAGAATGTAAGAACACATCATTGTCACCATCTCATCCTGTTTCTGTGTCACCAGCAATGTGAGAAGCGGAGGTGGCTGGGCCACCACCCCCAGTTTCTAAGGACGGGGTGGGGGTTGCATTAGTATTTCCTTGTATTTCTAAGAGAGACTCATTCTTACCTGAGGTTCTAGAATGTTTTCTACCCGTGAGAACCATTGTGGGTCCCTCCTTTCCCACCGTCGTGTTTGGAGCTAGCGGTCCAGGTGGTAAGGATGAGGCCAGAGACCTCACCACCTGTCCCTGCAGCACGGGGGCATCTCCAGGCTCAAAGTGCGGTCTCCGGCAGCATCAGCATCACCTGGGAGCTGGGGAGGAACGCCGGATCTCCAGCCGCAGCCCGGACCTTCTGGGTCGGCACCTGCATGCTTATGAGAAAACGCTTCCCTCACGAGGAGCCTCTGGGATGCTCCCTACTTCCTGAAGTACACCCCCTTTTAAGTGTGGCAGGTAAGGATCACGTGTACTGAGCAAACTTAACCCTTGATGACTAAGTCCTGAGTCATCAAGAAAAGTTAAATTTAGTGTGCTTGGAACTCGGTTTTCGTGTAGTTACTTTAAAAGTCAGCGTATGTCCGTAGGCACCCAGGGAGTTGAGGGAGTGTTTGTCGTATTTGCGCATGGTCAGATGCAGTTTCCATCCCGTCCCTGCCAAAGTGGGGAAGGTTGAGCACCAAAGATAGAAGATAGTGGATTTTTGTAATGGCAAAATAAGACTGAAAAGGCACCTTCAAGTGAGCAGCTCGATCCCCCCTCACCCCGCAGTGGAGAAGCTGGATGATGGACAATTTCCCAGCGAACGGACGTGTTCTCTCCCAGAGGACACACTTCCCAAACTTTTTTTTTTTTTTCTGGCACCGAGTGAGAAATTCACATAACCCTGTATACACGCGGAGTTTATCATTCTGAAACAAGTTTTACAAAACGAACGCTTACAACGTGTGATGCACTGATACTTTGTCTATTATTTCGCTACTACTTAACAAGATAGTTGATTTCATGACTTGCTAAGGGGCTGAGATCTACTGTTTAAAAAAAAACCCTTGCCTTAAGGGACAGAGATGGAATGATCCTTTCACAAAGCCGCAGTGAAATCTCTGTCAGTATGTATGACAGAAAGTATTTTTTCTTTTCCAAAAAAGCTTTTCCCTGCAGTGGAGTGTTAGTCTGTGAGTCTTCTATACTAGCAAATGGATTATACCAGAATTAGAAGCATTGTCCGAAAGCAAGGGCTTCTGTGTGCCAGGGAATTATGTGTTAATTAGCTATGTTTTCTTCCAGCTCAGAAAAGTGCAAAGTGCTTCATGCTAAATATTGGCTTGTACAGTAGAACCCTTTAGTTAATAAGCAGATGTGTGCATGTTAAATGCAGGAAGTATTTAACACATTGTGATGTGGCAACTTCAGTCACTCAATGTGGAATTTTTTTTTAAGTGCCAAGCCCTGGGAGGAAGCAGGGTCCTTGCCCTCCTGGGGCTTGTGGACTGCTGGTATATGCAGAAAAACAGAGCACCAAGACCCTGTAGTGAAGTTAATTCCAACTTCACTACAGTGACCCAGCTACCAGAGGGTCACGGGAGAGATGCAGTAAGTTGTGTGTTTTTAAGGCCCACTGTGACCACAGTGGATGAGATGGTTGGGGAGAGGTGGTTAGAGCCAGGGAGGCCAGTACAGTAGGTAAAGAAGGTGTCAGTTTTTGTTGAGCACCGTAGGTCCTGGGGGTAGAGTGGTGAACAAGACCCACTTGGTCTCTGCTCTCAGGATAATCTGAGAAAAAGATAATGAAAACACAGCAAGGTGATATTTTTGTTACATACAATGTTCCAGGCCCTTCTGTAACATAGAGAAGCGTTAAGGTGTTCTTGTCTCTCAAGCGATGGGACTCCTTGCTCTGATCTAAAATACATTCCCATTTCTTTCTACTGTCTCCGTTTTCTAGGTGGGTTTCTAACTTCTCCCCACTCTCCTTACTTACATTGGTCTCCTACACTGTGTGGGTTGTGTAATGTTCTGTCAGTTCCCCGCCAGGATTGGTCTTTTTGCTGCATTTGAGGACGTCCTTCTGCCACCGTGCAAGGACTGCCCTTCAAGTGAAGGACTTCGGTGTCATTTCCCCTCTAAAGCAAAAATGTGCCTTAAAAGGAAACGTGTTACTTGTCAGCGTTCAAGACTGTTGCGGGAGCATCCCCTGCTGAGCAGATTACAGGTGCCTGGTAGGTTTCCTTTCGGTCTTAACACGAGACCGTGTTGCTTTCAGTTACTTCAGATCAGAGGAATTTCACAGGAAATCATTAAATGGCCATGAAAGTTTTGAGAGGTGGTTCAGGAAGTTTGGGCTGAGGGCCCGTGTCTGTGCTGGTGTGTACCAGTTAGCAGCATGTGTGCAGTAGGCGGTCTGGGCTTTGCGTGGTGGCTTCATGCCATCAGGGGACCTGGGTTCTTATCCTGCTCCACAGCCTTGATATGTGGCTTCTGTTTCACCTCTGATTGTATCCGTGGTCCAGGCAGGAAGGAGGAGGAAAGGGGTGGGAAAAGAACAAGCTTCCAGCTGAGTTAGCCCCTTCGAAGTCTTTCCTGGAAGCTCTACCCGGCGACTTACTCGCCACGCTTGTCTGCAAGGAAGTCTGGGAAATGTAGTCTTTTAGCCAGGCATATCACCACCTGTCATAAAATGAAAGTTCTGTTAGGTGAGGAAGAAGGGGAGGATCGTTGTTAGGAAAGCAGCCTACGGTCTCTGCCCCACTTACCTGTGCATCTGAACCAGGAAACAGGTGGCATTTCATTCACAGTGTGGAATGAAGTCATCAGCACCGGTCATCGATGCAGCCTTTCTCCTGCCCTGGGATGTTAGACAAATGAGGGGTTAGCGGTCACTGAGATACATCCCCTGGTGATTGATGTTCATGGTGGAAGCAGGAAACACCCTAACTTCAGACGAGAACCCCTGTTCTACCCTTGTTCTAGAACAGAGCAGGTGCTGGTGACCTTTGTTTTCTATCTTGGGCTGCATAGGAGAAAAGTATATTTGGTTTTCAGGTACTCGTCGACTTTCAGAGAATTTTTAAGTGCTCTACAGGCATCCTTTGTTTTACTGCACTTTGCTTTATTGTGCTTCACAGATACTTCGTGTTTTACAAATTGAAAGTTTGTGGCCACCTGCGTCGAGCAGATCTGTCAGTGCCATTTTTCCAACAGCACATTCTTCTCTGTGTCACGTTTTGGTCATTCTCGCAATATTTCTGCCATTTGCGCATGTCCCCCTTTCTCTGCTCACGTCTAGCTACCTGCCTGCTCTAACACATAGACGGGAATGGTTATTGTGCACCCCTTTTTTGGAACAGAAGTTGGAGGAATCAGACACGGGCCACTGCATTCAGAGTATAATTGTTCCAGCACTAATTTTGAGAAATTCAGTACAAGTTCATTTTTTCAGTATACATTTATTTGTTACTATGTTCCAGGGGCTGAAGTAGGCACTTAAAATACATATAAACTCATATATTCTTACCAAGAGCCCTTTGAGGTAGGACTGTTATTACCCGCATTGTACAAGTGGAGAGACTGAGATACTGAGACATTGTCACTTACTTGCTAGAGAACATACAATAATCAGCGGGGCCAGGAAGCTGCTTTCAGAGCCTCTGCATTTAATCTGATCTCAGGCAGTTGTGACCTTCGCGGTTCTTTCTGATGGAGAAAGCATTGCTCAAGTCTGCCTCAAATCTGCTTTTCGGGGCAGGTTAAGGGGTGCCTGGCTGTTGTAAAATCCTGTGCAGGAGGGATTTGCACCCAGGACTGGGGCAGGTGGGAGGGACAGCTGCTTGCTGGTTTGAAAAAAACAAAACAAAAAACGAGGACCCTTCCCCCAACCCACTGGTTGCAGAGTCACGGGGGATTTCCAAGCATAAGGTAGGCTCTCTTGAAAGCAGTTTAATAGCTGGAGAAAGAAATGACCCATTTCTGTTTTGTTTTGTTTTTTCTTCTTGCACAAGCAGGATATGTTTTTGTTAAGTGGATGCATGTTTTTTAAGTGAACCACATGGAGGCTGGATTCCGGCCTGCTGATACCAAGTTTACTGCCTAGTAAAGAAGTCATTTCTCCGTCTCCTGGTTTTCAGGGTCCGAAAACATGTGGTGAGCATGTTTGACGTAGGAAAATTTGTAAAACCAGTGCTTCAGGCTAGCGATTGGCAAATGAAATACAATTGTTGAAGCCTCCAGCTTTGAACTGTGGGGTGCTCCTTCCGCATGCGGAGAACGAAGGAGCAGGTTGGATGTCCGCTGTCACCTCCCGGCCCTGAGCCCAGAACCGCAGCGCCCCCCACCCCCCACCCCCTCGCATGCTTGAGGCCTCAGGGCCTGCAGATCGGCCTTCTGTTTTATTCCTAGTCTCCAGGACCAACTCTAATGAATGCTTATTCCTATGTTGTTATTTTTAAACTCCAAATGGTTATTTACCATTTTATTTGTGGTAAGTGAATCCCTTTTGTACTGGGTATGAAAGAAATCAGTAAGTAGTTAACCCTCTCCCAGCCACGCCCCACCTGAGCTGCAGGTTGGGGGGGAAATGCCCTTCTTCTGCCTTGGCCCGGATTCTCCGACACCGGCGCTCCACGGCCACCCTCACAAGTTTGTCCCACGAGGAGAGGAGTGTCCTTTGCGTGCTGCTTCTCAGCTTTTCCAGGGAACCCAGAGACAGCCCAGAGCGCGGCACGTGTTGCAAGCTGAGCCTCAGTCCCTGCAGTCTCCTCTCCTTCACCCTTGCCCCTGCGGGTTCTGCTTAGCTCAGTGGGTTTGGGAGAAGGGAGCGAGAGCCAGATTTTGCCTCCGAGAAACTTTCAGCTTTCACTTCTGCTTTCCCACACTCAGGATACTTTTTCGTCAAGATTTTTGTTCTCCCAAAGTAGATTGTTTTTTAAGAATTAAAGTTGTGGAAGGTAGGGGGAGTTCTGTGTCTGACCTGGTGGCGGCTGTGTGTTCATTTCATAATGGCTTAGAGCTGTACGCTTAATGATTTGTGCCCTCAGTTTGTCCAATTTACCTGAACAACAAAGTGAAGAGTTTATGATTTATTATGTGAGGACTATCAGCTCATCTGTTACCAAGATGCGCAAAGTCCTGGGTTCAAGCCCCAGTACCGCCACTTAAATAAACGAGTAAATCTAATTCCCTGCCCCCTGCAAAAACAAACAAAAAAAATAATAAATCAAATATTTTTAAAAGGAAGGCGATACAAGAAGAGACAAATCCATTTTGACTGATGTGAAAA